GGCTGCTTGTTTACCTTTAAGACCCCAGACGCTATATCTTTTGATAGCCGGGTACTATCAGCTTTCTTCACCACTTTTGCTTATGTACCCATTTGTCTTCAGCGATCTTGTCGGGAAGGTGAGCACACAATGGTGTGGTTTTTTTTTGTTCCTTGGCAGAAACCAGTTCTCTTAAAAAAAATTTTTTTTTTTCAGAAACCAGTTTTCATTGGACCTTTTGGGGAAGGTGCCCTAATGAGATTAAGACAAGGGTATCCATGAGAGAACTTGCCAGAGACCAACCACTGGTTGCAGAGAAATATTTGAATTCATTTTGTTTCAAATAAGCCCATGTATGTATGAGCTGGAACCCTAGTAGCAAAATCTGTGACTTGGGCTTATACGAACTCTTTAAAAAAAAATTTTTTTTTAAACATCATTTTATTGTGGGCTCTTACAATCCATTTACTAATTGTATAAAGCATACTTGTGCATATACAACTTGTCAGTTTTACAGATAATAATAATCATCTAACACAATGGATAGATGGATGGATTGTGATAAAAGTTGTATGGACCCCAATAAAATGATTTAAAAAAGAAACAACAAAACAAAAACAATCATCTATGAATATAGGTGAAAACTGGTAACACATGACAGTGCTTCCCAAACCTTAATGTGCATGTGAATCAATGCAGGCTTGTATTTCTTGAGTCATGTTATTATGTGATACAGGAATCTGAATAATGGTTCCCCAAAGATCGCTGTTTCCAATCCCTGGAACCTAGGAATGGTATGTTTCATGGCAAAGAAAACTTGCAGATGTAGGTAAAGACATTATAATGGAGGAGATTAAACGGAATTATCCAGCTGGGCTTCCCAAGAGAAAGGTAGGGAAAATCAGAGTGAGCACAAGATGACGCGAGGATAGAAGGCTGAGCAGTGCCGTGGTACTGCTTTGAAGATGTGACTGGAGCTAAAACTGAGGAATGCTGGCAGCTCCAAGCTGGTAGGAAAAGCAAGGAAATGGATTCTTCCCTAGAGCCTCCAATAGGTGTGTGACTACTGACACCATGATTTTAGTCCAGTGAAACAGATTTTGGCCTTCTGCGCCCCGTAATTGTAAGATAATTAATTTGTGTTGTTTTAAACCACTAACTCTGTAGTAATTTGTTACAATCAGAAAATAATACAAATCATAATTTATTTAAAAATAACCCCCCAAATAAAATATCACCCATATGCTTATTAGAACCATTGTTTATTAGCGCTAAGAATATAATTATACTCTAAAAAGAAAAATTTTAATTACCTTATATATAACCATTAAAAACTTGTCATAGAAAGATTTAAGGATTAGGAAAACATAAGGATTTTTAAGTATATAACAAAATGATGCCATTCTATTTTTTAAAATTGTGTGTACATGTATAAATACAACAGCACAGTAGTTAAAGTGCTAGGCTACAAACCAAAAAGAATGTGGTTTGAACCCGCCTGTCACTCCTTGGAAGAAAGAGGTGGCAGCTGCTTCCACGCAGGTTTATAGCCTTGGAAAGCCTATGGCAGCGTTTTAGAGCGTCAGAATGAGTCAGATCAACTCAATGGCAGTTTGAGAGGTTTTTGGTTTGTTCTTTGCATTATAATAAATGCATATTGTTTTAATGACGGTTCATTTTTTCTAGGTAAATTAATGTGGATGGGCTGCTGCTACAGGCTTCATCTTCAACTTCATCTCATGCTGTCAAGAGAGTTATCCATCCATAAACTGTTGATTTCTTTGGGGCACTGTCCCCATAAAGTTTTCATAAGACATCAATGATTTCACCATTCATCCATCTAAGGTTCACCATAAATTCAATGTTTGCATTTACGTATTTAAATTTTAGTATAATTCATGTTGCTCTCCTAAGGACTCTTTTCATATGGGTGTCTTACCCTTCTTAGTGCCGCATAGTTTTCTCTCTCTTTTTTTTAATCATTTTATTAGGGGCTCATACAACTCTTATCACAATCCATACATACATCAATTTTGTAAAGCGCATTTGTACATTCATTGCCAGCCGCATAGTTTTCTCATATGTATTTTCTGTACACTTTGAAGACTGCTTGTGTGTACACACACATGAATGAATATTAGTCAGTCATTAAGAGAAATAAAGTCTTAAAAATATATGCTAAACATGGATAAACCTTACTGAATGAGTCACTCAGGAAGGCATATATTATATGCTCCCACTTTTATGAAATATGTATAAAGATGAAAGTTTATTAGTGGTGATTGGGGGTAGGAGGGAAGGAGAAAAGAGGGAGTAATTGCTTAGAAGGTACTGAGTGTTCGATCATGGTAGAATGATTTTGAAAACAGTGGCAATGGTCATACAATATGATGAACATAGGGAATGGCATGTAACAACTGTTGAACTGGGAATGTAATTGTATATATTTTTGCCACAGATAAAACAAAACAAAACAAAAATACATTATGGTCTTCAAAAGTAAGAAAGTTACAATCAGTCCTCTTATATTAGTCATGTGAAATTAGTCTTATCTAGTCTTGGTGATTATATGCTTGATCTGCCTGCCAAGTCCCAGTTTATGTTCACTGTCCTAATGTAATTGTTAACAGTGCCCACTTTCACTTCCCAAAAAAGTCCTGGTAAACTACAATAATCCTGTGAATAATCGACCGCAGAAGAGTTATTTTGAATAAATTTTCTAAATTTGATGTATAGTCTACAATAGGATATACCACCTATCACTAAAATCTGGAAAACCTGATTGTCAAAGTACATAGTATCCAATTATCTAAATTTCCTTTCACTAGGAACCAAAAAGTTGTGAATAAACTGAAAAGGTGTCAGATTCTGAAACCATTCACAAACCCAAAATTTTATATTTACTCATATAGTTACAATTTTTTTTAAGTCAATGTAATTCTAGAATGGTACATTTCAGATTTCTATAATATAGAAATAAATAATTTTGAGTTTATCAACCTGACTATTCTGGAAGGTAAACGCTTTAAACAATTTCTACATGAGATAACAGCTTCAAAGGCCTTCCTATAACATTATGAAATAATATAGAAAATTAAACAAATGGCTTAGATTTTGGATTGAGGTCACTAAAATCAGTTTTGTCATCTAAAATTTGTATCTTACCCATCTAACTAAATATAATGATATGCTGACTCATGGCTGTGGTTTCTCTTTAAAAGGTTCAAAACCTGTCATTTTAAAGAATTATCAAAGCTACATTTATAGAAAAGTACACAATAGGAAAATGAAAAACATCTTTTTCTTCCTAGGATTTTCTAGGCAACTAGAAAAGAAAAAACACACCCACCCCCCCCACAATCCAGTTTTTTTCATGGTTTTAATATACAAATAGAATTATCCTCGTGTTTGGAGGGCACAGGCTAAAATGGAAAGATAATTAATTAAAGGAACCTGCCAATGTTTAAAACAACACAATATACCTTCACCTCACTCATTCCCCCAAACACAAAAAGAAGAAACATTCTGCATGGTAAATTCAGATAGGCCATTTAAGATCAGCTTTCTATATTTGTGAAATAATTAATGAAAAATGAAATGAAGAGATAATAGAATTTTCTATGAATTTTTTATGCCCCCTGGAACAATGCCTACATCAGCATTTCTGACTGTTACCAAAACAAAATACAATTGTACAACAGTTTTAGAAGAACATTTTCAGAGAATCGTAGTCTTTCCTTTTTCCCTACTCTAGTATATTACTGACTCACTCATGCCATAATGCATGTTTATATTTTACGTGAACATGTTTACAACTTATACCACTGATTTTCACAGCAGCAATAATTTGTTATACTTTGAGATTAATCTTTGGATCCCTGTGCTTCTTTCTCCAATTCTCGTGACCGTTTTCGGGAATTCAGTGAAGCTTCCTTTGTCAGTGAACATGCAGGAGCATGAGGAGCATCTCTAAACCCCTGAGGCTGCAAAATAAAAACATACATACGTATGGTTTACAAAAAAGACTGATCGTACGCATATCTTTTAACTGATGAAAGATCTACTTTGTTCTTGGGATGAAATTATCAGCCACTGTGAATGATGAGGACAAACCTCATTGACAGATGTTTAAACCAGGGCTGCACTACATTGTTTTGTATTCTTTATACACTCGAGTGTAAGCCAATGCCAATATCAGTCAAGGCACCTAATTTTACCACAAAAACTGCATTAAAAATATGCTGAAAAACTTGGCTTATACATGGGTACATACCGTATATTTAAAAATAAAGTATATGTAAGATATACACATACATAAATAACACTGAATTATAGACATGTTCTCTAAAGGGCATTTTAACAAACTTTGGTGGCTCTGATGAAAGAGGTGGAATCAAGTAACAAGTATTAATAATTCAGGCACTTTATCCAATTAGACACTCTACAGCAGAGATCCTCAAACTGTGGCCCGCTGAGGACATTTATCTGGTTCGTCGGTTGTTTTTGCTGCCGCTGCCTGTCCTGCTTAGCAGCCGACTCGTCCAGTGTGCAAAGGAATTTGCTCATAGCTTTATTTTAAACTATAGTGCGGCCCTCCAACAGTCTGAGGGACAGTGAACTGGCCCCGTTTAAAAAGTTTGAGGATGCCTGCTCTACAGTTTTCCAACTAGGATGCTGCAAATGCACCTTGGTAGTGGCAAAGAGGACAATTTGGTTGTAGGATCTCTTTCCATCTTTGTTTTTGCCCTTATAAAAATGAGATGCCAAGAATATACTGAGCTTAAGACTATTGGTAATTTTGCATATTTCAGCCAAAAAACTTATTTCTATGAAGTAAATCCTCAGGGGGGAAAAAACAACTTTAAAGTATGTTATATTTGATGGCTATTGACCCATAATATCTACCGACCAAAATCACTAGTGCTGGTTTGTCTTTTAGCAACTTTTATTTTAAAAACCGAAAATATCCTGACATTACATATGGCATGGAAAACACTACCCTACAAATAAGTATTTCCTCTCTTAAGGATCAACTTCAGTTCAATTGTGACTAGAGTACTCTATGTATACAGTACTATTTTGAGGATAATATTCTAAGCACCTAAAGCTGCCCTCAAATATGCTTGTTGCCTACAGAAAGTAACAGAAGCAATTTGGAAATGCTCTCTTCAGATAATTACTGCCCACAAACATCAAAATCTCACGCTAATTAAATAATACTGACTGTGATTTGAAACAGTACTGTGGATTCCTTCTGGCTTGGTGATTTGTGCAAAGTTGCCAACCTATAAAGGTGGGGGAGGGGGAAGAGAAGACATATAGATATTCACACACACAGCCTTAATTAAGTAGCTCATATTACTAATTTCATAATTTAAATTCATAGTATTTTTACTATCATTCTATCATTTTGTCTAATAAGAGACAGCAAAGAAACAAAAAAATATTCCCCTCAAACAATAACTCAAACTCATATGCATAGCTATATACATATAACCATTAGTACACGAAATAAAATTGTTTATATAAGTCAAATTTTAAAACAATCTAAGTCTGATGACTGATTCAAATATGTTGTTTTATACTTTATGAGATCCTATTTATGCTAAAAAGGTGAGTGAAAATATTAATATTTGTGTGGTTAGGTGCTGTTCGGTCCAGTCCAACTCAGAGACTCTACATATAACAGAACAAACACGGCCTGGTTTTATGCCATCCTCATAATTGCTGTATCTGTGCCCACTGCTGCTGCCCCCGTCAACCCATCTCTTTGTGCTAACCTATTACTTAACAACCATCAGGTCCTTTTTCCAGGGACTAATCCTTCATAACACATCCAAAGTGGATAGGACCAAGGAGCGCTCAGGTTGTACTTCTTCAAGACATGTTTATTATTCTGGCAGCCCAACAATAATTTCAATATAAGTACAACTGCATAAAACATAACTGCTAAAGAATCCTTAGTATAAGAATAGATGTGGTAAGGAGTGCGGTGATAAAAGTTTAATGTGATGGGGATTGTACTCTATGTCTAAGAAAAATATAGGAAAGGTGTTTTAACCTCCCTTATAAAAATATCTTGGTCTAAGTAAAACAAAAACTAGCTGTCTGAAAAATCAGAAAGCTAAATCATTTTACGACATTAGCATGCATGTACAGAAAGGTACTCAGTTCATTGGATTCTTTGGAAGAAATGAAAAATAAATATGCTTTAAAAAAGTATTTAAATATATCAATAATTCTAAAGTCAAATGTGATTTAAATATTCAGGCTGACAATCTTCCTCAAACTTCTAGATAAAAATAAAATTTCATAACTTCATCTGGAGATCTTTTTTAATTAATCCTTTTATAGGGAGCTCATACATCATAACAATCCATAATTCAATTAGGTCAAGCATAATTATACAGTTGCTACCACAATCCATTTCTAAACATTTTCTTTCTTCTTGAACAACTTGGTATCGGCTCCCCTTTATCTCCTCCCTCCCACAAGAGATCTTTTTTTTTTTCCCACAAGAGATCTTTTTAAACATTAAATCAAACCAAAAACCACTTGGCTTATGGCCCAAGCGAGACGAAACTTAACATATGGCTGAACTACATACTTTGGGTCAGGAAGAAACAAGGCAGGAGCACAATGTGTGCTCTAAAGCTGCACACACATACGAGAAACTGTGGGGGTGTTGATACATTACTCCACTCTACCATCCGATCTTCTTGGCAAAGAGTGCTGTAATTCTTGGCAAAGAGTGCTGTAATTCTGAGCAATCGTGGCCTCATATTATCATGAATATGCAAATTTGGAGGAAAACCCACACATACACAGGACACCAACAAAGTATTATATTCCTTTTAACAACTGTTAGAATGCTATTCCAACACTAATTCAAAATTTTAAAAGATCAGTTGCTACTAGGAAAGGGTTGGGACAGGAGCATGCGATGGACACCTAAGCTCCATTCCAACATATATTTTATTGCTCAAGGCATTTCGTTTTCTGCTCTGAACCGCAAGTGTTCATTTTGTAGTCACACTGCCCAGTGTGGATTGCTAGTTCCACTCTATCAAGACAAACTAAGAAGGCACCTAAAACCCCACAGTCTGGAAATGTCAATGACTTGGAAATATCTGGTGATGAACGAAACTGTTAAAGTATACATGGTTTGAAAGTCTTTCCTAGATAAGACTGCTACAGGCAGTTCTGGGTTGCAAATGAGATCTACTCCCACTGTGTCTTTAAAAATCTGTAGGTAGGGTGCGATGTAACAATGATGAGAAATACAACTTTCCTCTAGTTCCTAAATGTTTCCTCCCCGCTCCTACTACCATGACTCGAATTCGATCTTGCAAGACTGGCTAGACCAGAGGAGGTACACTGGTACAGATAGGAACTGAAAATACAGGGAATCCAGGACAGATGAGCCATACAGGACCAGTGGTGTGAGTGGCAAAACAGGGAGGGTAAAGGGAGAATGGGTAGGAAAGAGGGAACTAATTACATGGAACTGTGTGTGACCTCCTCCCTGGGGGACAGACAACCGAAAAGTGGATGAAGGGAGACGTCGGACAGGGCAAGAGATGACAAAATACCCATTTATAAACTATCAAGGGCTCATGCGGGGAGGGAGGGGAAAAATGATGACCGAATGTCGAGGGTTTAAATGGAGAGAAAATGTTTTGAGAAACGATGTACAAATGCGCTTTACACAATTGATGTGTGTATGTATTGGGATAACAGTTATATGAGCCCCTAATAAAATGTTAAAAAAAAATCTGTAGGTAATTTAGAACAGGTGCATATGGTTCTTATGTATCCACACTTTAGTGTACAAAGAACTTGAAGACTTTTACTAAAAGTTGTATGTCCGGTGGGTGAAGCTGACTGTGACATGACATTTGTTGGGTAAGGATCGGTTTCTGGTAGTGCTGTTGGGCTAAAACCCACTAGCTGTTTTGTGGGGAAAAGATGCGACTATCTGGCCCACAGAGGTTTACAATTTGATGGCAGTGGTTTTTTGTTATTTTTTAAAGGGCTTAGTTCAATCTACTCAATGGCTATGAGTGAGTGAATTCAATCATTTAAAAGTGAAGGCAAATTAGGATAGACATTACCTTTTGGGACTTTGATCCATAATTTTTCCCATTCGTTACCATGACAAATCACCAAAATTAAAAAATTCAGATCTGTTCCCATTTCACTGGCCATGACAAAACAGGTTCAAACTGGTTGGAAGCCATGTTTAAAAGAACAAATAAGAGTTGCTCCTACATTGAAAATTTGGAACTGGGAACTACCTATATTGCATATAAGCATATGAGGTCAAGGAAAATTTCTAAGGACATTTAAACGATGGGCTGCACTTATAGAGAATAATATCAATCTGGGAAAGCATAAGCAGTACGTTCAAAAGGCTCTCAGCTAGAGAACTGGTGCCAGATCTTTACAATAGTTTGAAAAGGTTTGGAGTTTGTTACTAAGACAAGAATTCCTTTTGTAAATCCAGTTTATAATGAATTATTTATAGAATGAGAGAGAGGGAGCCCACTGTAAAGCACTATACATTATGAAGAACATGCGTTATCTGAGGTCTTTGGCAATACCATCTCTAAAAGAGACACAAACTGCTTGAACTGTAGTTGCAAAAGATATACTGCATGCAGATCACAAAAAATTCTGCTTCTGAACTTAGCGAAGGTCAGTCACACCTAGCTTGGTCAAGCATGGTTTTTCATTTGTTTAACAATAAAGAATTAAACAATATCACTGACCAAACCCAAAATGCACTTAAGTAATTCTTTGTTCCATCTGTGCCCATATGCTGTCTCATTTTCTCCTTTTATTAAAGCATTTCTAATCTGAGTTCTCTAGGTTATGCCAATTGATTTCAAAGCAAAGCAGAGAGCTGGCACAAATTGGAGATTTCTAAAAGTGTACAATAAAAGACCCCACAGCTTTCACTTGACTATTTTAGAAAAAATGAAAGCTGGTTTGTTCACTGCTCAGCAGGTTTAAAAACAAGTACAAAGATGTCATGCTGGCATAGTTTCATTTTAAAGAACAATAACCGTGAAAGACAGGTAATCAACTGGAAATCAAAGCAGGATAGGAAAATACAAAAGGATATAAAAATAATAGTCACAATTTCATACATAAAATATTAGGCAACTTAGAAAAACCATTTTATTTTCCCTACAAATTAGTCCTAACGATAATCTCAAACATCTTCCCTTTGTCCTGATTTATTCTCTTTCTCAATTCCCTTCTAGGAACAGGGAGTACCCACATCCTTCTGCTTGGCTAATATGGAACTTGATTTCAAAGAGCTTTAGCAGGTGGCATTCCTCAGCCTCCTACTCGTTTCAGGTGCACCCCATCATTTAAATATTCCAAAGAATTTCTTATGGAGCTAAATGTGCAGTGTAACAAGGTTTTGTGGTTGCGCTAGTTGATGTCAGACATGGGGACAAAAGCATCCGTTCGTGGGGCATTGCAGATCTCGTTGAATGGTCTAGTTTTAAGGAACTGTTAAGTTCAGTATAATATGCCCAATTTTCAGTATTAATTTTTTTTTTTACTGACCTCTGTTTTCGGTCCCAGTGAAAGATCAGCCGTATTGTAGCAGCATGTCCCCAACTTTCCCCTGAGGGAAAAGAACATAGTAATTATAATGCCTTGTCGATGAGGTTATAAGTAGTATCTAGGGATGTCTCTTGACAAAATATAGATTTCCTTTACTTAACTTTCTTTCAAAAGTGTGTACTTGCTTTTGAAACACACCTGGGATGTAAGTGACATCCTGATATTACTAGGAAAATACTGAAAATCATGATCTCTTTTTCGCTTTTAGAAAACATTGTATTCTGAGTCAGTGCATGGGTCAATCTTCAGCATCAGGCTTAATAACATACTTTTGACCTCCAACCCCAAGCCAAACTCAAACCCAAACCCATGGCAGACTCCACATCTTTCCATCAGAGAGCAGCTGCTGACTTTTCGATGAGCAGGTGAGAACGTAACCACTGTGCCAACAGGGTTTCTCTTTTGATCTTCAGACGGAAAGCAAAAACTGATGTAATGTTCATAAAAGGTTTTAGTGGAAATAAATCTAAAAGCCCTGTGTTCTAATAAAACCAAACCTCAGATTAGGACTAACGTACGTAACTTTATTCACTGTATTGAGATTTGTACTTAAATTGGACTTGCTCTTCCTCCTGCCTGAAACTGGGAGTTTTCAAAGAGCAAGGTCATATATTATGAATATATCCCTAGAACGTGAAACCATGGCCACCACATAGCACAAACACTATGACTGAACGGGTCCGTCAGTATCTAAGAGCACTGTACAAGGCATTGAGATTCTTTAGTGGATAGGAGAGATACAGCCTCTAGTATGGAGCTTATAATAGTCAACATGTTCCAAATGAAAGGGACAGGAAAAATGTCTTTCATTAAAAAATGAAATTTTATCTGATCCATTACCCACCTAAAGCAGGAATCAGTGAGGCTTGATTTCTATCAATCTTTGTTGTCATTTGATTGGTTAAAATTACCTTAAAAAAAATAAGAAGAAAATTAGGTAAATCTCTCCAAAAATTGTCAATACATGTTATTGTGTGTCATTGAGTCCTTTGGTCTTAGTATTGTGAACATAAGCAGCCATCAAAGAAACACATATTTCTCCAAGAGGAATTACTGAGGGCCGAGTGGAAGGTGAGCAGGATAATGGGACAGGAGGAAGAGGAGAGGAATAGAGGAAAGAAGTAGAAAGCAAAAACTATTTATAGAGATATAGCTATAGATATGTAAATATATTCATTTATAATGAAAGGGATAGAGGCCAATGTACAAAGATTTATGTTTGTTAAGTGTTATGATAGCAGACAGACTTTGGGCCTCTATTCAAGACCTCCTTAAACACACAAAAACGCTTTGTTCTAATAACCTGGCACACTTTGATACTCAACTTCCTGACATGAACGCTTAGGGCAAAATGGTGCATAAGCAAATGTGGTGAAGAAAATGGGTGGTGCCTGGCTATCAAAAGATAAAGCGTCTGGGGCCTTAAAGGCTTAAAGTTAAACAAGTAGCCATCTAGCACAGAAGCAAATAAGTCCACATGGAAGAAGTATACCAGCCTGTGTGATCATGAGGTGCCAAAGGGATCAGATATCAAAAGATCCAAAGCAAATATATCGATGTGAAAGAGGGGGGGTTGGAATGGAGACCCAATGCCCATCTGTAGACAATTGGACATCCCTCCACAGAAGGTTACAAGGAAGGGACAATTCAACCAGGGTGCAGTATAGCACCGAGGAAACACACATTATTCCTCTAGTTCCTGAATGCTCCCCCTGCCCAACTACCATGACCCAGTTCTAACTTACAAATGTGGCTAGACCGGAGTACACACCTTGGTACAGATAAGAGCTTTGGACACATGGAATTCAGGACAGATAAAACCCTCAGGAACAGTAGTGGGAGTAGCGATATAATGAGGGTAGGGGGATAGTGGGGGCAGGAGGTGGAGAAAGAGGGAACCGATCACAAGGTTGGGTATACAGCCCACCCCCCCAGGTGGACAAATAACAGAAATGTGGGTGAAGGGAGACAATGGACAGCGTAAGACACAAAATAACAATAACATATAATTTATCAAAGATCCATGAGGTGGGAGAATAGGGAAGGAAGGTGAAAAAAGAGGAGGTGATAACAAGGGCTCAGGTAGAAAGAAAATATTTTGGAAATGTGGATGGCAACATATGTACAAGTGTGCTTAATACAATAGAATGATGGATTGTCTTAGGATTTGTAAGAGCCCCCCCCCAATAAAATGATTTAAAAAAAAGAAAAATATATTTCACTAATTTCTTTATTTTAAAAAGTGGTCATATAGTTTTCTGAAAACATGATTACTGACCACACAACATCTTTTCATAAGGAAAGAAAGTACTTATTGTAAAAATTATAAGATAAAAATTTTCCAGGTAATACATGAAGATTTAAGAAGGTCAGAGGCCCCTTAAAGATATTTTCTAACTTGGAGCATAAGAAAATTTCTTCCGTTAAAATTTTGTATAACCTTGATAGAATAATCGCTGGGCCTAAGGGTTTAGGACCGTCGTCTTGGAGGACCCAAGTGAAATGGAACAACAAATGTCCACAAAGACACTGTGCCACGGGCTACTTCGGTGAGAGGTGACTCTGAGTGGCCATCTAAGAGGTACAGCTATAGTTCTCTCCCTGTTCCGAGGGAACAAAGAGTGATGGAAATCGAAGATGCAGGGTGACAATTAGTCCAGTAGACTCACAGACCCCACAAACTAAGTATCCATTATCCTGAAACTAAAAGAACGAAATGGACAGTGCCCTGCTGCTGCTGTCCACTACTCTGAAAGGGATCTCATTAGATAGCCCTAAATATAGTGGGAGAAAAATATGGAAGAAAACTCACAATCTGGGCAATGAATGTACAAATGCGCTTTACACAATTGATGTATGTATGGATTGTGATAAGAGTTGTATGAGCCCCTAATAAAACGATAAAAAAAAGAAAACTCACAACCATTTAAAAAGGCTATAAAAAAAGTTTACTAATTAGGCAGAGACCACTGCAACCCCCAAGATTATGGCCCTCAGTCACCCTTCAGGTCTGAAAATGAACGCACCCTCATGGTTCAAGTTTTTGTCTAAACAACGGACAAGTCTATAAAGGGAAATAACAACAGTGAGGCACACACTCCTTAGAGTAATCAACCATTTGATATTAAAAGGGCAATATTTACCTCAGGACAAAGTTCAGTCAGGAAAGGAGGAAAGAAAATGGGAAACACAACGAGGAATTGGGATGATTGTGGGGATTACAGTTAATGAGATGAAACAAAATGTGTAAAAATTGCTGGATGAAAAATATCTGTTAACTGAAAAAAATATGTTAACTTCCCTTATAAAAGCCTTAATTATGAAAAAACTAATTAAAAAGAGGATGATCTGCTCTGTAAACATTCACCCAGTTCACAATTACGCTATCCCATCCTCCCAAAGTCTGAGTAACAGAAAAAAGCACAGCAGCAGCAGCAGCAGCAGCAGCCTCGTAACGGTAATGAACAGATGAGTACTTACACAAACCAGAAACTATGCTAAGTGCTTTACCTTTATTATTCTTACCTAACGTTCACAACAGCAGGGCCCTGGCAATGTGGTGGGCTACTCAGAGCTGCTAACCACAAGGTCAGTGGTTCTAACCTACCAGCTGCTCCCTAGAAGTTTTGAGGTTGTTTACTCCTAAACAGTTTTAAATTCCCAGAAACACACAGTAACAGCAGTTCAACTCTGTCCCGTTGGCTTGAGTTGGAATCAACTCAGTGGCAGTGATGTTGGAATTTTTAAAATCTCCACTACTACTATGAGTGATTCGGCACTACATTCATTCTAGTTTTACAGATAAGAAGTCAGAGGGCTTAAAAAAATGTCTTAATGGAGCATCCCCCCCCAGAGGGGCACAGGGAAGGGATGAATCAACTAGGGCGCAGTAAAGCACCAATGGAGCGCACACGATATTCCTCAGGTTCCTTGAGGCTTCCTCACCCCCA